AATTCAGGCGCAGCTTGATTACAAAATGTAATCAAATGGGTAATTAGTTTCTTTTACCAAGACTTCTAATTTTACTAGAATCAGAATTGGGGAATTCTTGTTTTTGTAAGTAGTTATCTAGAAAAATGTAGATTGACACATTTGTCTCGTTATTTTCATTCCCGTCCACAAGAAAACTCCCTGTGAGCAAACAAAGATTAAATTACAAATTCCTATTTACTCGACATATACATCAAACACAACAACGACAGCTCACATTTATACTTTCTGTGAATTCGTGTTAAAAAAGCGCGAAGCATTTCGGTTGTCTCCGAGATCTCGGATTACCAGCATTCCATCTTCGCGCCGACTCCCGAGAGAAGTTCGTTATTTTTAACTCAATTTAAAGTAATGCGCCGCCGAGAAACACGAGCGCCGAAGGTGGTAAAGATTGCGCGAATAATATAAATTAGGTATTGTGCATTTTGTCGTTGTTACCTAAATGGAAACTCGTTGGCGCAGCCACGCCAGCGCGGATACGGTAATGAAATCTAATTTTACATTGTATTATTGAACTATGGATAAAGAGGGACCTAGTTTTAAGTTTGCAATTACTTGGGGCCGCGCTTCTCTGTTCGCTGTTAGTGAGTTAGCGAGTTTGCCATCGCACGCCGTAAATAGCAACCAGGGCGAAGCTTTCAAGATGATATTGGGTCGTGCACGTACGGTTGCTAAACATATTTATTTACAAGACTAGCTGAACTTCTATGCAAAGTTAATATTAATTTATCTTTAAATCCCGAAGTTATCAAAACAGGTATTTATGTGAAAAGATTTTAAATTTGGCACTGCTATTAATTCAAATAAATTAATTTGTTTATAAAGCCCACACTGTATTGCCACTTATCAGTAGGCATGTGGAAGTACTTTAATAAGTACGCTTCGCGTTTATGTTCTCCGTTCTCACGCTCTTTAAAACGGCACACATTCGTAGAGGGTGCGCACGTACGCATTCGGCAAAGCGGAATTGCAATTCGGAAACCTCTTGAAATGCAATTTTGTTCGATGCATTTCGATTGCATGCGGCACGCAAACGTTTGCCTCGCCGCAAGTGTGTTGTTTATTAATTAATTTGAAAAAGAAAAGCTATTTTCTCAGCAGTTGCAGGCGCGCTCGTAAAGTAGACGTTCAACGAAATCATCAACGCAATGGGCAAATGTGGAATTTGCCACCGCAGCACGATAGCCAACTTATGGTGGTTGAGAAGGCATATAATTTTAATAGTATGTTTGCGTAAAAACACCCAGCACGAACAAAAAACATCGCCAGCCACTTGATGAAAAATACTAAAGTAGTTAACAATCGATTTACTATTTACTATAATTTATTCACGACGAATATATACGGATAAGTTAGTACCTCATATATAAAAACGAAAATTGTGTTTTATAGACTGGCTGCTAGCGAAAAGAAATAGGAGAAAATAAAAAGCTAAATAAAGTTTCATCGACCACGCGACAATTTTTTTTTGTATTTCGGTTGTGGCGAACGCGATTATAGCATGAAATAAATTGCTATGGCCAAACCACAACTTTTTAGCTTATTATATATAAATTAAAGACGCATAAAAAGTGTTCAAGCGTCTAGTTTTCAAACTGCTGCTCGTTTATTCTGATGATTACCCCGAATATGAAAAAGTTACTTAATGGATATTAATGAATCTGAGATTGATATTATTTGACATGTCTGCAGGTTGCTCGCATAAATTATTGTTATAGATTGACTTCGACACTTTGCCAACTCAAGCCGAGAAGGTACACGTAATCGAGTTTACTAATAATTTGAGGAATTTTGCAACAAACCAGGAAGGGTTGCCCGAAATATGCATATACACGATGTGAACGCATGGATTGTTAGCAAGTTTATCCACAATTATGCAAAACGTGGAAGGTTTGTTGCTTCCCACTGTACCAATTTTGCCCGATTCCAATTCTCAAGTCATACATATTTACGCGACGACATCCCACCTGTGTATACGAGTTGATTGCGAGTGTGTGTGCTTTGATTTGTCGAAAACTCAATATTCAATGGCGATACATTTGCACATGGAATAGATTCTGTCGAAATCTCCTTGGTCTATCCTGAAATGGATGGTTTCCCTGCTGTGAGAGGGTCAAACACTCAAATATAAAAGCAGCATGTTGGAGAGTGTCTTGTGAGGTGCTCAAAGATGGAGCGCGACCAAATAATCTTACGTCTTTTAAGTCCTTTATATTTTTTTCCTGGTTCGACATATGCCCGATGGTCCAGCGGCGTTTTCCTGTTCCCTACCAAACGCGGCGGGGGCACAAACGTGCAGGCTTATTCATGCATGCATCGTACCTCTCAACAAAGGACCAAACTGGAAATAAAATGCTGAAGGCTATGTGTAACTGAATGGCATTGTACTTTGGTGCGCAGGTACGCTTAGGGCTCTGTTCGCGTGTATGCAGAAGAGGGTGTGTTATCGATTTTGACAATAATGCACTCATACCTACTTGTATTCTTTGCGCTCTATTCACCTGTTTATGTTCGACGCGCACTTTACTAGTGCATGAAGAGGAGGTCAAGCAAACGTGCAAAGGTGGCAGAATGGCAAAAATTGAGTTTCCATATGATTTGAATATGTTTGCATTTTGTTTTCCTTTCATACCTGCCGAGTGAATATTATCTCTTGCATCGTGCACAAGCAATGCTGAAAAGGTGTGCATTTTAGGTATTGTGGTATGAACAAATCAATATTTGTTTCATTTGTGTTCAGTGCATTCCATTCAATCAGTAAATTAGTTTATTCCTGATGAAAAAAAGAATGTAATTGTTCTGCTTCAGTTCTTATGATATTATTGTTTACTCTGTTTATATTTTTTTATTGATGTCAATGCCCTAACAGCGTCATGTGCCTGTCTGCATATGATAGATTATGTTATGCGTTATTAAGTAGGCAACTTCTTCATCAGATGACTAACTGGTTGCTTATTTGCTTTCTGGTTAATCCATTAGTAATAAAATGCAAAGTAATTTGACAAAATCCATTACATGGCATAAAATCGACCAACAAACATTAAACAACAGTTGCAATGAATGCAATATCATTACTGTTGTGAAACCCGAGTGAATCAACTCAGGATATCATCCAACGCGGTGGTCGGTAACAGCACCGGTGGATATACGCTCGTTTGCCTAACAAAATGTATGAAATTCGACGAGCATCGTGTGCGCCCTGCCGATATAATCTAAAAATAATTGCCAATAAAAATCCTTGCACGCTTGGTTTCGACCGACCCGGGTCGCCCACGCGTTGTGTGTTGCGTACTTTTTCGACGTGTTGTGCTTCTTTTTGTTGTTGTGGCTTTGCGCCAAGCCAGCCCACATTGGGGATGCCATACATGCCGCGCGAAATTGAAGAACGCGCCGAAAGGGTGGATACGCTATACACCCCGTACTAAACTCACCTATAAATTGGTGCGGAAAAAGAGCGATTGTGTGCGCAAATCGACCGAAATATAACGACGATATTCGTATTAAGCATGCACACACATATCGAGGCCGGATTTCCAAGCATCGAATTGCAAATGTGAAAATAAATGAAAAATGCATGAAGTTTCGGGCGTTACGATGGTGGGCTTCTCCTTCTAGTACTAATACCAAACCTAGTAGGTATACATTGTGGAGGAATCAGACGCATTCACATGCGTACTTCCACAATCATGCGACATCAGGCAGACAGCAGACGCAGCAGTTTTATGAATAAAAATAAATTGATAGTGATTTGTAGCGAAATGTACAAATATTTTGCTACAAATTGCAAGATTTGCAACATCTTCAAGCGGTGATATTGCCAAATGAAGTAGACAAGTCTTCATAAGCATGTGTGGAGCGTAATGACAATCATGGAATTTGGAAAATTCGTCAAGCATTGTTAAAGTCGCGTAACACGATCTAGTTTTCGCAGCCGGGGCGGCGCGTGACGGACGCCGGAACTCCACCATCGCTGAGTGTGTGCTTCCTCACCACTTCTATCTAGTACCATGCACACATAGCTCTGGTGTGAGCCCGCATAGTTTCTCAAAAGCTCCTCTACACGGCAACACTCTCTGCGCCACTGCTGCTCATAGTTCTAGTATTTCGGGGAGCAACGCGACGATTTCTCAGTCCTGTTCCGCGTGTCCTTATAACCTAGAAACTGTTAGTTCACATTATCAGATAATACATTCCGGGCGACTGTATTTAATCTAAATTAAAGTAGACTATATGAAAATTTACGGCAGCTATTAGCATTTCAGGCTAATTAATTTCGCTACGACGACACCTCGCTGCCCCTTTTTGGTGGAGGCGCCGGGCATTGCCGGGCGGGCGCGCGCGTGCATTCCAGTTTGTGGTGGTGGTGCGCGCGATGCTAGAATTGCACAATTTTAATTAAGACCGCTAAAACTAGGCTAGTTGTGTGCGCCGACACATGAGATGTCTCGTTCGTTAAGCGCTGAACACGAAGCCAGACTATATTGTACGCGCATGTTTGATCGGTTAGCGGCAGTACCACCAACTCCTGTACTCGGCGCGACGAAACAAGTTGCGATAATTAACACAAACCAAGGCGAATAGAATAATTGAAGTGAAACTTCGGCACTCACGAGGAATCCATTCATATTTTTTTGTGGTCTAGTCGGGCAGTAAAATGTTTTTCTTATCTTAGGAGGGTAAGATTTAGAGTTTTCAGGAGTTTTTTCTTTGGTTTTAGAAATTTATTTAAAATGTTTATTGTAAATAATATATTTGACTGTTTGGGACATGTTGTACTAAAACTATTGACGTATTTCATCAGATGACACAATGTTTCATAAAAGTTGCGCGCTTAATGCGCGAACTTGTTAATCCCCGGCTGTTTTTAAGCACTAGATTTAACTAATGCTGACTCTGTGCATGCATCACGCGCGCCTTGCTAACAAAGTTGTGTAATTCTTGTCCGTTCTTTCTGTCTGCAGTATTATGCGCAGTGCAGTCCAGCGGGAGCGCGGCCGGCAACTCACTGGCGGACGGCGGCGGTGGCAGCGGAGGCGGCGCAGGCGGCGCAGGCGGCAGTGCTGCGAATGCGGCGCGCGGCCCACACTTCGACATAGCATATTCAAAGAACGTCACGGCGCTGCTCGGCAAGACGGCTTATCTTAATTGCCGCGTTAAAAATTTAGCGAACAGAACGGTGAGTTATTTCGAACGTTTCGCATCGAAGCCTTCATTTGTATTCGCATCGATGCCCAGCTAATCCATTTATAGCATTCATCGTGTTTCATCACTTTGACTTCGAGTGCTAACATCACAATCGCCTTGACGCGCGCAGACGATTGGCGTGTTTATCAATTTTTAATTGTAAAGTTGGACTGACAACAGTGACTTTGCAAAAAAACACAGACAACATAGCAACTTTTTTCCGAGTACTCTTTTGTTTTTATTTCGTATTTGGCCACAAAGTCCATATACCTGTCAGCTGTACGCGTATGTTTTCTAGACTGAAGCAAAGCTGATTAAAATTGTCACTGGAAAGTTTTTTTTTTAATTTTTAAGCTTTGCTCGCTTCATGTGAAAAACAAATCCATTCTAACAAACACGTTTTTGAAATTGTCCAAAAAGTTCAACTGTTAACAACAGTTTTTCTTTCAGTTGTGCTTCTCATCACTTTATTGTCTTCAGATAGTTGATTGCGTTTATTGATTTTATATATCCTAAGTGGCCGAAGCTTGCATTTGTGTGACAAGTAAAACCTTTCAGATATCTCTGCAGGTGTCGTGGGTGAGACATAGAGATGTGCACCTTTTGACGGTCGGGCGTTACACGTACACTTCGGATCAGCGATTCCGCGCCATCCACCAGCCGCACACAGAAGACTGGATACTACAGATTAAGTACCCGCAGCATCGGGATTCGGGCATCTACGAATGTCAGGTGTCTTCCACACCGCATCTTAGCCATTTTATTCATCTCACCGTGATCGGTGAGTATCTATTACATAATAATCACACTAATTGATTAATTATTTAAATTAATAATTATAATATACGCGACGCATCAAAAGGGCCACACAAATTAATTACAAATTGTCCGCATTGAAAACCAAAGCATTAAATAGAAATTATGTGCGCAGCATGAATAGTTCAGTTGGGATCCAAACGTGAGTAAATTAGCTTTTGCATTTTGTCGAAAAGCCATCGGCAGAGAGCAAAAAGAGCAACAAGCCAAATAATATCGACCTGTCAGGGCGCAAATTAATGTTATTTTAATTATGCCGGGTAATAATTCATTCAAAATAATAACGCTGCAAATAATAGTCGAAAGCCTTTCAGATTATCAAAAGGGTTCGCGTTGTCGGCGCGTGTATTAATGTTTGACCCTCTTGAAAAGGTTCGATATTTGATGTTTGCGGATGCACGGGATCAACATTGTGCCTGGGATGTTTTTACGAATATCATGCTGCAAAGACGAAAACAAGCGGCAGGTATGAGATAAAATTCGCAATTTTGACGCGATAAACAGTAAAGCGTTTAGTCGAATAAGAACCGTTCGTGGTGTATGTGTATGTGTGTGTTAAGCATAAGAAAACAAGGACGTGGGTTGAAAAATACCTAAGATGGAGAATGAATGCGGATGAATATTTAAATGCCAAGGTACCTATCATCTTATCTTATTTACGCTTCGCTGAAAAGGATAAATAATAAATCCAACTGAGGAAGGTCGTTAATAAAGAAGTAACGCAAAGAAGTCTGCTCGTATTTATTCATGTTTTAAACTCAATTACACAAATATTTCACACAAAGAATGACGACGTCATATCATCATATAATTTGAAAGACTGAAAGACGTGGTTTTTGCGTTTTCTCAGCGTGTCCTATTTTTTCTACGCCGCGTCGCCTCTGTTTTGGATACAATAATGAATACTGCATGAGCTTTTTAATAGAAAATGTTCGTCTCCGCCCTAATATTCAACATTCAACCTCGCTGAGATGAAGAAGCAGCTTATAAAGCAACGCGCACACCTAGTGAAGATATGAACGAAAGAGAAAGAAATATGTGGCGCGAGGCTGCTGCACGTTGGCAACAAGAAATTCAGAGAAAAGGACTCGGAACGTAAAGAAAGTGGATTCCAGTACGACCGTAATGGAACTGTCCACGAGCGTATAACTTGATTCATTTCGCAATGGTGCGCGCCACCGACGACGCGTTCATTCGAACGCCAGCGACGAAAAAATATTTATCTTAATGATTTATTGGTCACCGCGACGCCACACGTTGATACGTGTTACTTGAGGTTTTGCTAACGCAGAGCGTATCAGACGTGTGTGGGCAATGCGCACAGCAACAAATGAACTAGACGAGGCGTGCTTGTGCTTTTGGATGAAAGTTTCTCATACAGTTCATGACGTTTCATTGTTCGTGCTCGGTGGATATGAAAGGACATAAGTTAGCGCGACGTAAGTTGGCGAAAAGAGGCATAATCTGGTTATACAAGTGGACTCACATACCTGAACGACTTTCATGGGTGCTGAGTGCGAAAACGAACACTTGTTCTGTCAATCTGAGAAATTTAGGATTAAAAGACTTTCTTGGAAATGTTTTTCGGAAAAATTTTAATTTTAAACATTGATTAGCTTTAATTGATATCACACCATAACTAGTCGTGTATTTTGTGTGTCAAACCATTTGTTTTCTATGGAGTAGGGGAATGTTGCGGCATTGTTCCGGGGTGATTATAACGCGGTACTAACAAATAGCTGCAATACTTCAAAATCCACGCGTGTACAATGCGCAGCCAAAGCGAAAATAGATTCACGCCCTTATTTTGGCATACGCATCATAATATCACTGTGAAACGCGATTCAGCCCACGCACTACACGCACGCACACCCCTTTAATGTCAATACCGACTAGATTTGTTTGTTCGATATTTCGCTATCTGGACTATCGCATTACCAGTTTTGGCGCTCTTTCTATTTGTTCAGGCAAATTTATAAAGTGCCCCCAAACACAAAGACCCAAAAAACCGAACTAATATTTACTTTTTCGTTACAATTTACGTAATTAAATACATCAGGATATTTATAGCACAATAAACTTGTTTAAGCCAATTGCAATTTATTATTAGGATATAACGTATTCTCATTTATCCGCCTCACAACTGAACACAATATTATCTGACGTCTCTGAAATACTCGAACGTGCTGATAAACATTGTATATGAATTTAAATTTCAAGCAAATATTGGAACGCGCTGCAGTAATTATAAATAAATATTAACAAATGCGGCGGCGTATTTACATTTCACATTTACATTTCGAATTTTTACACAATATATTACAATACATGTATGTTTCAAATTTCAGTCGAGTGGGATAATAATTGTATAGTGTATCCGGTAAACTAAAGTATCCAAAGCGTGCTGCGCAAATATACAATCGGCTGCTGATATCGCTGATTATTCCGTACAAATTACCAATTAAATTGATCTTTTATTATTATGATTATGACTATTGTCCGTTTGAACTGTTGCTAATTCTCTTAAATTTATAACCGCGTTACACGAGCGCTTGCAAAAGGGGAAATTTGTTTAAATTAAAATTTTTAATGTAATCAACACTCGCTTCAGTATGGGAATATTTGAATATGGAATATTAATGCATTTTAATGAATTTAATATGTGCGTACACATCTGTTCCCACAATTTAGAACTTTTAACTATCGTAGAAATAGAATTGTCATAAATTAATATTTAAATCATTTAAATAAGTTTGTGGACATAAAGATGATAAATTCGTAATTTAGAGTAAAACTTACGAACAATACGCTTTTGCTGGTTACATGCAATTAAAAATATCAAGCGCCTTTATTTCGCGATTACGCTCCGCTTGCATTGCACGAAACTCTCGGCTTCTTCCAAGTAGCAAGCAGAGGCAGATTAGAGTGGTGTACAATTATGAGGAGCGCCGCAAACGTTGCAGCCGTGCATACTAATAGTCTAATTACGAGTCAATTAGATTTTGTCTTTAGTTCTTTGCAACATTACCGTAAGATACTGTATTAGCTAACGCTGGAAGTTGGCGCGGGTCGTGGAACTCTCACAAGAAGAAGTAGGAAACAGTCACAACTTCCAACTTGGAACCGGCTCGTATTTTAGCAGTGCAGTAAGTTAATTTCTCGAACGCGTAATGTCATTTTAGCGAAGTTACAAACACTTGCTTCTATATACATAATAATATATTTCAAGAATGCGCAAAGCATTTTATTTTATATTTTTTAGATATTTGAATAATTTTGTATTTAAATCCGCGCTTTGTTTAGATATATTTGCATGTTAATGTTAAACCACCCTAGGGGCTTAAATAAAAAAAAAACGTAAAAAAATATTCTTGTGCACGATTTATCGTCGGCCATATTGTGCGCATGTCGATGAAATCGTGTTCACGCGTTGCCGCGGAGACATATTTTACTCTATGTTCAATGCAAACTGGCGGCTTAACATGCAGTATAGGATTTGGTCCTGGCTAGTAATTTAATTAAATAGAAGCAGGTTTAAATGCAGATGTTAGTGAATGTGAGCGTCATGCGCTTTTTGGGTGCAAACCACTGCGTCGGTGTTAATTAAAAGCCAACATTGCGGACGCCGCACGGAATGAGACACAAACGTAATGATTGGCAAACTTTTAGTTGCACATTAAGCCATTGACTGTTTTTTCAAGTTGAGTTTCTAAGTGACATTAGACTGCACTAATGTGGAGTTCTTGAACATTTTCTTAATATAATTTACGGTGACTGTATTTATATGCAGTATAAATTTGGCAAACATCGGTTTGGGTTTATATACATGATATCGTATTACATTTAGCATTGGCACCAATGTAAACAAGCCATATGAATTCGGCTGGTAGATTTTGGCACATTTAGCAAGTTCAGATTTGGAATTTAGGTCAGTATTATCATAATACATAGTGTTTCGTACGTTTGCGTGTATGATACAACTCGTAGGGGCATACGGAAAAAGGCAAAACCATAACGTTTCGAATTTGATGGTTTCTCTTGTCCTCTCTAAACGCACGCATCTTATGTTATGCGGAAAATATAAAAACGCGGCGTGCGGAACGAGACCACATTGAAGGACATTGTAGATATATAAAAAGACGCGCAGTAAGGACTAAGGACCGCTGTAATACTTCCCCTAAACGAAAAGAACATGGTGTCCTGTTTTTGCACACACTATCGACGCCTTTTTCGGCGTGGCGAAGGTGAGATGCAAAAAAAAAGTTTAACTATTGTATCTGGCGCAAGGCATTTAGGAAAATATGCTCACATACGTTCCACTTGTCTATCCTTCTCTTGTTAGCAGTTGGCATACGCTGCACTGAAAAAATATTCCGAGATAAACGGATAACTCAGTCACTGAACTGAAGCAGTGATAGTACTAGAACCCGGAAAGAGGAGACCATTGGTACCGCAAAGTCGGCTCATCTTATTTTATGCCGTGCGACACGAAGACCCGAGCTTTCCGCTCGCCCCACTCGGCCACTTTTTATTCACGCGCCACTCGCGTCCGTTTTGTCCCAGCGCGGGTGTAGATGTGGATGTGGGTCGACATTTTAAAAATTGATGCACGACGGGACAAATTTATAATACAGAACGGCGCACGAAGACCAAGACCTCACGAAAAGAAGACGAATTGATGAAGCAAAGCGAGAATTTAGAACGCGGGCTATCTCGGGGGCAGAGAGACTTTGACGCTGCATATATGTATGTGAGAATCTTCATTTTGAGAGGTGGGATGGGTGGTGGTGGTGGAATTGGCGCAGGAAACGACGAAACGAGACTGGAAAGCCGACCGCAAAATGTAAAGGATTTCATTTGCCTCTCGGCCATAATACATATAGATAAAACATAAATAGAAGGTAAAGGTAGCGAAACGGTTCCAGAAGCAGACGTTTTGGTCTAAAGTCTACGAGAAGAGCGTTG